GTTTGTATTAGTTTTTACTATTGTAATTAAAATTCTTAATAAAAATTATATTAAAAAAAAAGAAGATGGCTTAATTACCTAGGTTATTTTGAAGCTGGTAACCATTACTTTCCTGTTTAGATAAAACAGAAAGCTAGTCATTTAATGGTTTCCTGCTTTATTTTTGGCTTAAGAGGAGCGTAGAGTAAAGCAGTTGATCTTTCAGGTTGTGAGATCTCGATATTGGTTAACCAGATGGACAATATGAACTCCCGAGTGTTCCATGTTCTGAGGAAAGGTCATCCTCCTTTCACACACTGTTTCTAGTACTTTTAACTTTGTACTCTTGATAGCATATCATGTACCTATTTTATTTTTCTGCTTTATCTTTGACCAAAAGAGTAAACGCCCTCTTTGTTTTCAGATCAGCTCCTGGGATCCGACAGTCTGGTTGCAAGAGAGAGGAAGTGCGATGTGCTAAATGTGACTCTGGGTGGAAAAACAGGGCTACTGTTGGGCCAAAGACTGTGGGTATCTCATGACTGAAATGTCGATGAGCCACTGAGACAGCTCAAGAGTGCAAATTCAACAACTTTAATCAGAACGCTTCCACGCCCGTGCAGGGCATCCCACAGGCATGTCTATGAGTGGCTGTTCCCTTTCTCTTTCCCCTCTGAATCCTTGCAAAAGAAGAGTCTGTTTATTGTGGAACTGGGAGCTTTAGGATATCAATTATTCACTTGACCTTTTGCCGAACAGGCGTCACTGCAGCATCATGGGGAGAAGAGAGAGCAACTCTGCTTCTTCTTTTCCCTAAACATGCTTTCATTTCTGCTTGGAGGACAATAATGCTTTATTAGCATTCTTTGGGAGTTTGACTGAGGCAGCGCTAAATAGTTTTAGGTCTGTAGGAGAAGGAATGAAGAGAAGAAAGGAGAAGCCTGGGAAATGAAGTTCTGGTTGTTGTTTAGTCAGTCTGGGTCCTCTGGCAATCTGAGCATTGTGGAGGCACTGAAGTTTCTTCCAATTCTTTGGTCAAAGCCCCGCTGGTATGCTAACTGCTAAGGGACCTTGGGGGTCCTTGAGCTTGGCGTAGATTAAAAGCAACTGTTGTAGGCTGGTTCTTGAATAATCTCCATCGGCCTTGACCCCATGGAAGAGAGGCCCCACTTGTGTAGCTGAAGATAAGCAATCCAAGATCAGCAGCAGGCTTTCTACATACGGCATATGCAACATGCTAAGCTCCAAAGCTATTCCTGTTCCAACCCTGCATGGAGCTCTTGGGCCAAGCTTGGCAACCTACTGTGTCCCCCAAACCAGAAAGAACAAAAAATCTAGGTTTTTGGAAATTGCAACTTGCACTCCAGGTTTTTCAGAGGACACAGGTCCCCATTTCCAGAAATCCCAAATGGCTGCTCTTTAGACTTCAGCTTGGTTCAAGAGCCATGCATTGTGGGAATCACAATGTGGAAATCATTAGTCACTCCTGCCTTCTGGAATTTTAGAAAATCTCTTAGACTAGTCTACAACCGAGGGATTTTTTTGGTGGTTTCCCATCCATGTACTAACAAGATCTCACCCTGGTTAGGTTATTGACATCAGCATTCAGTAAGTAGGTGCTGCTTTCTGTTGTGGAACATTCCAACTTTCTATATATCCTAGAACCTCAGAGAACCTTAGAAAGACTGGTAGACTGTGTATATGCATTAACATCTTTTTGTAAAACAAGTGTAAGATCCACATGCTCACAGAGGCTCCACCAAGATTGGGTTGCTAATGTCTTCTTCCAGGATGTTTTTGAACTTTGCAGTAGGGGGGTACAAAAAGTAAATAGTGGCCACAACTGCACACTTGAAGTCCCTTTCCAGGCTACTCCCCACCCTTGATATTTCATGGAGGAATCCCATCCAAGTACTAACCAGAGCTGACCCTTCTTAGCTTTCAAGCTCAGAAAAGGTCACCTAGGTACCACCATCTAAGCCAACCCCATGTGAAGAAAATCAAAGTGTGCAGCTTCTTAATGCATTTCTACTTTTAATGGCCAACTTACTGATGCTTTTTAGCAGTTCTCCGTTATCAAATTCAGCTCCCCAGAGAAAAGGGATATTGCTATATAAACAAAGCCCTTGGGTCTCTCATGTTGACACATGGCCTATCGTAACATAAAAGGAGACAAGGCATGTGGAAGTTTTAAAAATTGGTGGTTATTCAATTAGGAAAGAGTTTCTGGTTTCTTATTTTTGTTTTTTAACTGTGTGTGTGCAGGAGAAGAAAAGAGGATGGCTGTGTGTCTGGCTACGGCCCTGGAGAAAAAAAACAGAGCTCTAATGTTCTCCCCTTCCTTAGTCCTTCATGCAGTGTGGGAATTTGAAGACCCCAAGGGCTTTCAATTAGGGCTACCATTCTTGACAACCACCAGGTGGGCCAAAGAGATGTATCTTTGCTGATGGCTAGTGGTTGTCCAGAGTTTTGCAGCCCAGATATGGTAGCCTGACATCAATTCCAGCCCTGCAAAGCAATGCAGAACATTTTAATCTGTAATGTTCTATTGACTACCCACTAAATCTACAAATAATTATGTGCTGAGACTCGAAACTCCATGCAATTTGGACCTTTTTTCATGTGCTCCCAAAAGGCACTGACTCAACCCAAATAATTATGTTGAAGATGAAGCTGACCAGTGACAAGGTGACAAATACTAACTCCAACATGAATTTACAAGAGCTCCAAAAAGCAGTGACTGGTAAAATGATGCCCACTGGGTCACACTGAATGAACAAATGTGTATTGAATTAGCATACCCGACATCTAGAAAGAGAGGGAAAAAAAGGCAACTTTGTCTGATAGCCCCAAATCATAATCCTTGTCCTGAATTATGAATAAACTGTGATTTATACATCTTCTTTAAGAATAGTTCTTAGATAAACACAAATTTGTCCATCGCCTACCTGAACGTAAATAGAATTTTCTCCAGCCACACATCAGTTGTTAGGCTATATCCAGATGATGGAGAGTCTGGAATGATGACAAGCTGATCAAGGCAACCCAACTGCTGAACTTTGTTAAGAATAACTGGAAAAGCCTTCCTCTGAGTGAAACAGTTCAGCTGATTGCTCCCAGGGTTGCATCATGTTTTCCTGGTCCTTCAGGCAACAGGTGCTGCTTAGAGAAGGCAATTATTTGTGAGAAATGCTGGCAACTTCAGACCAAAAGCTAAAGTAGTCCACAGAGTACATGGTATTTACCAAAGTTGCCAGCATTAAAACAAAATTGCCAGGATCTTGGCAATGCATTGGCGTTAGGTGGACCCTTACTCTTTTAAAACACTATTTGCACAACACATTTAAGCAGGTTCCTTGAAAATGAAGTGGCTAAGCTTGCTTAGGGTTGGGAGGCTTACTATGTTGAGTGAACCATCCTGTTTGGAGAGTTTGGTGTTAAGGATTGTGAGCACTCAGAGACTGGGTCAGTTCAGTAACCAGGATGATTGTTCATGCACAGAGCTATTGAGAGGTACAAAATGTAGAATAGACACGTATATAATGTGTAAGCTTGTTCTATGTGAGAAAGTTGTGGATCCTGTCCAATGAAAATTCCAGCCATGCATTCACATCATGCCTGTGTGTTTAGTAAAAAGCTAGGAAGCTTTGGGTCAATATGTGGCCTGGTGCAGATATCAAACTAATCAGTAAACTGTGGTTTACAAACAACAAATGGCCGGAGTCACACAAGGTCTTGCTTTACCCAACAGCCAGCAGCCTGGCTTGCATGACATCCCAGGACAACCCAGTTTTCTAAAGGAATGTGTGTCTGCCATGTTATTCCTTCCTCTGGTCTCATGCAGCTCTTTAACCACAAGTGTAACCAAAACCTGAAACAGCCACTATTTCTGATTAATATAAACTGGAATCTGAACCCAATAAATACCCATTACAGACTCTGGGAAGTAGAAATCTTGTTATTGAAGTGACAGGAAGGTGGATATTGGCTAGGACTTGGTGTCATGTGAGTGGAAAGAAAGGGTGTGTAAGTACCTCCCAAAGTCCAAAGCGGGCAAAACAGCAGAAGCATGATCAAGGGATATCAATTTACTTTAAATGAGCTTACCATCTCCAGGGCCAGATGAATTGCATTCTGGAGTACTTAAGGGATTTGCTGATGGTCTAGCTCAGTGATTCTCAACCTTGGCAACTTTAAGCTGGCCGGGAAATTCTAGGAGTTGAAGTCCACCTATCTTAAAGTTGCCAAGGCTGAGAAATATTGGTCTAGCTGAACTGGAGAAGTGCTAGATGATTGCAGGACAAACATTGCCCCTAACTTCAAAAAAAGAGACAAAGGAAGACATTGTTGTCTGTCAGGAGGGGCAAAGAACATCACATGTAATGTTACGTTACCACGCAAAGGACACAAAGTATGTAAGTATGTCATTTGCATTGTGATGTTATGATGCCAGTGATGCAAATTACATAATTAGTGCTATTTATGCAATTACATTGTGATGGGCATCATGTTGTTGTGGCTTCTACTGGACACCTATGAAAGGAAAATCTGCATCCAGAAGATTATTAAGGAGATCATAAAGCAGCTGATGCTGCTTGGGCTATCATGCGAACACGGTTGTTATCTTAGTAATGGCAAGAGAGAGCAGATCTTCAGTGTCCAGCACGAACTGCTGCAAACAGGAATGGGAAATGCAGTAATACCAAATAAATAATTTATTTTAGTTTGTACCTCGCCACAGTGGTACCATTTGTCTTTATCTACCAAAAGCATGAAAAAGAAAGAAGCCATTTAGGCCATCAAATCCAACCCCCTGCTGAGTGCAAGAATCTAATTAAAGGTTCCCTGACAGATGCTGTTAGTCTCCAACTGAACACACTCAGGGAAGAAGAGCACAGCATCTCTCTGGGTCATTGGTTCTACCCAGAAAATGGTCTTACTGTTAGGACATTTCTTCTAACATTTAATTGGAATTGGCCTGCCTGGAACTTAAATCCATTATTCCATATCCTTCACTGCAAATGAGAGAGAGAAAGGGTGATAAACCTCTATTTTTTTTTTTTAATATGCCCCAACAAGGCCTTCTAGAGCATCCCATAAGTTGACCTCATGTTGGAGACCTCAGCAAAGGAAATACAGCATTTGTTTCCCAAAACAGCCTCTCCTATGTAAACTCAGTGACACAGCGGGTGAAAACCAGATTGCACCTCCATTGTGCCACCAAAGACTGTTTGCAAGGTGGGTTTAGCCATTGGATGATTTGCTGGCTTGACCCAGGACATTAGTGACAAGAGCATTGTCCTTGATTGAGCAAAGCAACAATCAGTCTCACTGAAAATCCTGGTTTCCAATTAATATCTGCATCCTGTAGCAGTGTTTCTCAACCTCAGCAGCTGTAAAATGGGTGAATCTCAACTCCCAGAAATCCCCAGCTAGTATTCCGGGAGCTGAAGGCTGGCCATCTTAAAGTTGCTGAGATTGAGAAACATTGTTCTATAAAACTGAAGATAGAGTTCAAAAAAGAAGGAAGAAAAAACAAGAAGAATTCCCTATCACCATCTAAGCAGGAATCCCAGCCAAGTGATTTTTTCCCCAGCCATCCTCTTTCCAGTGAGTTCTGGACCTGTGTTGAATATCAAGATCCTGTTCAAGGAGATAATATCTAGTTTAGTTACGCCATATTGATTTGGAATTCTCTGTGTAATTGTTGCCTTTCCTTCTTTTTCCTATATTTCCCTTTTCCCAGTAGCTCATTCTATGAACTCAGACCTCATTATCAATTTATGAATCTGTATGTTGATTCCCAACAATGGATTGGATAAATTAATCATGTTTAAGTATGGATAAGCTTCAGGCATCACACTGAGCCGCCCCATAACTTGGTTTTGGCTGACCTTGTTGCCTGAAGGCAGCCTCTGTGGTTTCAACTAACTCCACCTCATGACTTAGCATTATTTTATTTATGTATTATTTATTTTACCCTACCGCTATCCATTGCCCCAAATGGTGGACTCTGGGTGGCACACAAGAGTACCCAAAACTCCCCTTAAAATGTCAGCCTATAAGCTGAATGGTTGTCCTCAATTCTTCATAATGGGCCAAGAGCCCTCAAGCAAAAAGGCAAGGTGTCATTCTCTCACCAGTCTGCAAACAAACCCTCCACTGAACCAGATGGCCAACGTACAAATATATCAGGCAAGCAATCAATATATCAGGCAAGCAATCGACACCTTGCCTCTTGAGTAAAAGAGGTCTAACCGGCCTTTATTTAAAGATGAAAATGATTGCACTGAATGTAGGTTTACAATGCACTTTCCCCTGTGTTTTTGTTAGTATAGTTTTTTAAACTGTTTTTAACTGTATTTTAATGGTTTTGTTTTAATTATGTTGATCATTTAGCTTTGTGTTTTAAGTGTGTGCACCACCTGGTGTTACATGCATGAGATGGGCGGCTATATAAATTCAATCACTTAATCAATCACTGTGGAAAGGAAGTTTTTTTCCAGGTAAATATGGTTCTGCATCAAAGAATAACAGGGATCAGTACCTTAGGATGTGTCACAGGGACTCCCAGGTTCAGCTTATGGTCACTCACACACTCACAGCCCCTTGAGGCATGCAGATCTTGTAAGCCCCCCTTGTTTTCTACCTGGGCTTTCCAGACAGCAGACAAGACACACAGCCCTGGGCAACAGGAGGGAAGCAATTAGGGACTTGCACCAATTGCTTCCAACCAAACACTGAGGCACAACAGGTTCTTTGGAATACTTTGGAGACCCAGTGAATTTAAAGCAAAACTTTACTGGTCACAATGTACATTTGCTCTGTCTCACACACACACGCACACACATCCACACCCACACTTACATCCTTCTCAACTAAGCTGCCAGGCACTAGCTAGGGGGATGGAAGCTGCCAAGTCTGGATCCAAAGATGACTCAGGGAATGGGTGGGCTTCAGGACCCCTTTTATCCCCCAAAGTCCTTGCTTTGTTGATTCCCAAGACTGGCAGATAGTCTTGTCTTGTTGATTTACAAGTCAGGTAGCTGTTGATGGGACTGGGGGGAGGTTTCCAGGTGCTCAGGCCCAACTTCCTTTGTCTGGTTAAGATAACATTTTTTCCTTTGTTTCCTTAACACCTTGTTTCTTTCTTATCTACCTCCTCCAAAGGACCTTTTAGATAAGATTCCTGGCTTTTCTCCTCTCTGCTTACATGTCTGCTTCATCTTTAGTTATGGCAGCTTCAGCCTAGTCTCACAGATGCCCCATCAGGATTTTATAGTGGAAGCTGTGGAACTTAGCTTAGGAAGTTCCAACTTAGTGGAAGCTGTGTTTGTGTGATGGTTTCTAGTAAGCAACTCTACTAACTTTTGTATCTGAACATTACTATATTTTGTACAAACTCACTTTATGTAATTTTCTTCCATCGCAGGCTTTTTAAGCCATGCATCCCATCCCTTGCACATCTGTATCCAGCGTCCCTCTCAGCATTTTACAGAAGATTGATTCTGTAAGACATCTGTGATTTTACACTGCTCAATGCTGTAGAGCAGGATGGAGATTGCCTTGAAGAAAGGATTATAATTACTGTTATGTAAACACCAACTTAGCCCATATAGAGAGGAGGGGGTGAGGAAAAGATTCCAGATTGCCCTGCCTTGATTCACTGTAGTGCATCAGGCTTTCAAGATTCTGTTATTATTCCTTATAATAATAATTAGAGTTCCAGTAGTTCAGATGATATCTGTTTCCTGACCTGGTCTTTCAGGCTGAGAAATACTTTATTCCACCCACTTTAAGGCTTTTTAGGCATCTGATCTCTGAAAATTAAAACGAAATCTTCTTTGTTTTGAATAAAATGGATACTTTAAATTATACTCTGTGCTTTTGTCTGCCACCTCCAAAAAACAAAGGGAAGCTGTCTTTCTCCGGCCAGATGCTGCAAAGTTGCAAGGTTTGGGATGCGATGCTGCAGTTTCATTTTCCTTCTTCCAACACAGTTGTTATTACCATTATCATTCCTAGTCTGCTGAGCAAGGAAGTGCTCAGGGCGTAGGACCTTCCTCTGTCCCACGCGGGGAGGGTGCCAGGTAAAGGCATCCCCCAAAGCATTTCAGTGAGGCCACTGTCAGCTACCCCGCAGCGGTGCCAGGGTTGGAGTGGTGGGCCAGGCGGCACCAAACCCACTTTGATACCCAACGCCCGCTTCCGCCTGTATGGCCTCCTCCGTTGCCACAGCTGCAAAGGGACAGCTCTGAGCACCTCCTGAAATACCAGACGGATCGCAGCCCGGTGTATTCTGAGGGCATCTTCCACAGGCGGGCTCTGCCATGCCTGGCCCTCCGGGCAGCCGGCCGCTTGCAAAGGCAGTCCCTGGAGGATCTGGGCGCCGCCCGGGCCATGGTGCCCGAGGTCCTGCCAGCCTTTTGACCAGGCCCGGGCGCTCCGTGGGGACAGGGCCGGGACCTCCACTGGGCGTCGCTCCGCCAGGGCAGGCTTCTCCGCTGGCAGGGCAGCCCCGGCGCTCTTCCCCCCGCGCCAACCCCGGGGCCCCTCTTCCCCTGGGGTTCCCCCGCGCAAGGGCTAAAACCCCCGCTCAAATCAACACGGTG